CAAGCAGAGAAGGGGCAACAGAGCTTAATCCCGCAGTAGCTGCGGAACTAGCGCCGTATCTTGAGACATCTTGGAGGCTCCTGGGACCGTCTTGGTGTCATGACAGGCGTCTTGGAAGGCATCCGGAGCCAAGTCGCAGGGAAGGGGGCAGGGGGAAGAAGGCCAGAGAGCGCTGAAGGATACAAATACTGGAACCCTCTTGTGATTTTGTGGGGGGCCTCGTACGGCCGCTCGCTGGGAGTTTGACGTAGCTTCTCGGGAGCCTCTGAACCTGTCGGGGGCCTCCTGGAAGCAGGTTCGAAGCATTTTGGGGCCGATTTGGGGCTTCTCGGGGCCTCCTTTGGGCCTCTTGGGGGTCTCCTGGGGCCTCTTGAGGGGCCTCCTTGGGGCCTCCTGGCGGCCTCTTGGGGCGGAAGGCTCGAGCTTGCGGTTCGTGGTCCCCCTCTGGGCCCCCTCTTGGGCCCGTCTTGGGGCCCTCTTGGGCCATCTTGGGCGCCTCTTGGGCCGTCTTGGGGCCCTCTTGGGCTGTCCTGGGCCCTCTTGGAAGCTTCTTGGGCCGTCTTGGGGCGGTCTTGGGCGCCTCTTGGGCCGTCTTGGACGCGGCGAAAGCCCAAGAGGCGAACATGCGAAAAATATACGTTTTCCCATAGGAATGACACGATTTTTGCTTCTTGGGCCTCTCTTGGGCTGCCTCTCGGAGCGTCTTGGAGGCTTCTGGGACCTTCTTGTGTCATGACAGCGTCTTGAGAAGGCATCTGGACCATTGGAACGCGTTCCCGAATACAACGAAAAGCAAAACGAAAAAGAAAGAAAAAGAAAAAAAAAAGAAGCCGCCTGCGAACGATCTTGGACGGCGTCCGGCGGTCCGACGAGCCTCCGGGCCCCCCGGGGCCCACATTTGTGGTCGGGGTCCCGGCCCCGGGCCCCCGGACCCGGTGCGCCGTTATATGTATATTAGAAGTACTGGTAAACATAATAGTAGACGTGTCAATAGAAGTAGTCGTGGTCGTCATCGTCGTCGTCGCACTGGGATCCGTAAGAGTAGTGTGGTCATACAAACGGTAGGAGACACATTCGTAGTACACATAATAAATGCACGAGTAGTTTTAATACTAGTGGCAGTATACATATTAGGTAGTCGTAGTCGCAGTCGTACTCGTCCGTCGAGTATAACTAGTGGTAGTGGTAGTCGTAGTTGTAGTAATAGCAGCAGTATGAGTAGTGGTAGTAGCAGTAGCATGGGTAGTCGTGAAAGTAAGTGGAGTAGTGATGGTAACAGAAGTAGTAAGTAGTGGTAGTCGTAGTCGTAGTCGTAGTCGTAGTCGTAGTCGTAGTAGTAGTAGTAGTAGTAGTAGTAGTAGTAGTAGTAGTAGTAGTAGCAGTAGCAGTAGTAGTAGTAGTAGTAGTAGTAGTAGTAGTAGTAGTAGTAGTAGCAGTAGCAGTAGCAGTAGCCGTAGCAGTAGCAGTAGCAGTAGCAGTAGCAGTAGCAGTAGCAGTAGCAGCAGTAGCAGTAGCAGTAGCAGTAGCAGTAGCAGTAGCAGTAGCAGTAGCAGTAGCAGTAGCAGTAGCAGTAGTAGTAGTAGTAGTAGTAGTAGTAGTAGTAGTAATAGTAGTAGAACTAGTAGTCGTCGCCGGCGTAGCCGTAATCGTAGTCACAGAAATTGTCCCCGTCGCTATCGCAGAACTAGTAGTAGCAGTAGCAGTAGCAGTAGCAGTAGCAGTAGCAGTAGCAGTAGCAGTAGCAGTAGCAGTACTACTAGTAGTAGTAGTAGTAGTAGTAGTAGTAGTATTAGTAGTAGTAGTAGTAATAACAGCAATAGTAGTATGAACAAATACTACTGGTAGTCGTAGTGGTGGTAGTTTTTTCCTAGTAATAATAACCGTCCTAGTAGTAAAAGTAATAGTAGTAGTACTAGGTGGTAGTACTATCAATCGTAGTAGCAGTAGTAGTGGCAGGAGGGGGCAGTGGGCGGAGCCCCCGCGGGGGCGCTGGGGACGCGGGAAGGCTCGGGGCAGAGAGCGACGGCGCGGGGGTCCCACTCTGGCGCCGGGGACGCGGGGGGAGGGGGGGTGTGCGACGGGGAATAAAGCGTTCGTGGCGGGGGGGGGCAGTGGGCGGGGCCCCTGCTGGGGCGCTGGGGGCGCGCTGGAGTTCGGGGCAGAGAGCCACGGCGCGGGGGTCCCACCCTGGCGCCGGGGACGCGGCGGGGGGGAGGGGGGGGCGACGCGGAATAAAGCACTGGTGGCGGAGAGGGCACTGGGCGGGGTCCCCGCTGGGGCGCTGGGGGCGCAGGGGGGCTCGTGGCAGAAAGCCACGGCGCGCGGGCCCCCCGCCCGCCCCCTCCCTCCACTTGTATCCGCCGAGCGGGGGAACTCTCGAGATCACCATTTCGAGCGGTTGGAGGGGAGGGGATGGGGGGTCGATGATCGAGGATGGGGGAAGTGTTAAACGTAACTTTTGCTGTTGCGGGGGTGGTTTTCGATAGGGATACCGAGCGAACGGATTGAGGAGCCCTGGGACCGTAGTCCCTCGCGGCGTCCTCTCGGTTAGTTGGCTCTCTAGTCTAGGCTACTATGTGTTTCCACAGGAGGAGGTCGAGGTCTCCTTTCATTCGTTTCGCCCCACCGAGCCTGTGCCTAGGCCGCCGCTCACGGACCAAGAGCTCGAAGAGATGCTCTATAATTGACTGTGCCCAGGCCCGCCGCTCACGGATCATGAGCTCGAAGAGATCCTTGATTGTCTGACTGAAACACGGAGGGAAGGGAAGAGGAGGAGAGGGAGGAGGAGGAGAACAGGTGAGGAGGAGAAGGATGACAAGGAGGATAATGAGTATGAATAGGAGGAGGAGGAGGAGGGCGATAATGCGAAATGTTAGTCTGGTGCTGATTCCGTCTCTTCCTCATCCTTCCTCCGACCACGGTCCTCCTCGTTCCTGCCCTCTTCCTCCCTCGTCCACCCGCCATTCTTTCCCCCGCCCTCCTTCCTCCGGCGGGCGCCGCCCAGGGTTCCAGGGTGTTGTCGCATGGCGTCGCCGCGCCCGTTTCGGCGTAGCTCGGCGCATGCTTCGTTGCCCCAGGGGGGAATTCCATCGAGGGCCCCATTATAGGGCATGTTCGCATGGCTTCGCCGCGCCTGGTCCGGCACTCCCGTTGCACGTTTCGCTGCCCCTTGAGAGCTTCGCCGAGGGCCCCGCAGAGTGGTCGCACGGCGTCGCCGCGCTTATTTCGCCACGCACAGGGAGCTCCACCGACGACACCGCCAACGTAACACTTAACCCTGACTTAACTTATAACTCGGCGCCTGGTTCGGCACTCCCGTTACACGTTTCGCTGCCCCTCGGGAGCTTCACCGAGGGCCCCGCAGAGTGGTCGCATGGCGTCGCCGCGCTTACTTCGCCACACACAGGGAGCTCCACCGACGACACCACCAACATAACACTTAACTTTGACTTAACTTACACTTAACTTTCGATTTAGTTAAGTAGTTGTAACTACTCATGCTAACTGGTTATAAGTACTTAACATGTAACCCTCTATAAGTCAGTTAGTAAGTGCCTAAGTCCAAAAGCGCGTGAAGTGGCGCTGGGGACGCGGGGGGAGGGGGGGGGTGCGACGCGGAATAAAGCGTTCGTGGCGGAGGGGGCAGTGGGCGGGGGCCCCGCTGGGGCGCTGGGGCGGGGGAGCTCGGGGCAGAGAGCCACGGCGCGGGGGTCGGCCCCACTCTGGCGCTGGGGACGCGGAGAGGAGGGGGTGTGCGACGCGGAACAAAGTGGTCGGAGCTCTAGACACCCTGTGCAAGAAGATTAACTTGACACGTTCTGATAGGGGGCCTCCTGGGGCCTCCTCGGAGCCTCCTGGGAATCTTCCGGGGACACCTGGGGCCTGTCCTGGGCGTCCTGCGGCCTCCTGGAGCTCTCTGGGGCCTCCTGGGGCTCCCAGGGTCCCAAGGAGGATATGTAACATGTGGTCTTCTGGACCCCCAGGCTGGACCACCTTTTGCGCGGCATCTGGGAGCTCAGAAAGCACGAGTGTCTTATGCGAAACAGGCCGGACCACCGTGCGTACGGCATCTCAGAGCTCAGAGTTGCGAGGATGTCTCAGGCGAGACGGGCCGGACCACCTCGCGCAGGGTATCTCAGAGCTCACAAGTTCGAGGATGTCTCAGGGGGCTCCCAGGGTCCCAGGGAGGATATGTAACATGTGGTCTTCTGGGCCCCCAGGCTGGACCACCTCTTGCGCGGCATCTGGAAGCTCAGAGTTGCGAGAAGGTCCTGTGCGAAACAGGCCGCACCACCTTGCGCGCGGCATCTCAGAGCTCAGAATTGCGAGGATGTCTCAGGCGAGACGGGCCGGACAACCTCTCGCACGGCACCTCGGGGCTCAGAGTTTCGAGGATGTCTCAAGCAAAACGGCCTGGACCACCTCTCGCGCGGCGTCCCGGAGCGCAACTGTTCGAGGATGTCTCAGGCGAAATGGCCAATCCCAGCCAGCTCAGAAACGAGAGTTGTGAGGATGTCTCAAGCGAAACGTCCTGGACCATCCAATTTTCATTAGCTTCTATCACAACAGCACTCCGTTCAGCAAGCTGTTCGGCGAAAAACCTTACTCGCGACCTGGTGGGCGCGCAAGGGGACTGCCGAAAGTCCGATGCACTCTTTGGTGCCAATCCTCTACACCAGCATTCAGATTGAGATTGCTGATACGACATCAGCTGGCATTGAAAGTAGTGCCTAGGCCACACGGCTGGCTGGCTGGCTAGCTGGTGGTGGAGCGACAGGAAAAGCGAGAGGAGAAGGAGAAAGGACGGGATACCGCTGCGGCGCATTCCCGTGATATGCGTGGGTGGGCGCTCGGAGGGCCTCAGAAGGAGCGCTGCCCAGATCCTCCCAATTTGCTGATCCAATTCTTGCGTATCTTGTCTGCCTGGGACTGAGGCTCGACTAGCGGTGATTGTGGAGATTTCCCAGAATGTCTAGCCTGGAGAATTCGATCCTCGGGGCGTACCTCTGCGGTCAACTGCGTGACCCTGCGACGCACTCTATCTGCGTCAACGACGCTGCCAACCCTTGACGCCGCTCTGCTCTCCAATTGCATTCCGTCTCGAATACTCTCATCGAGCTGATCCATCTTCTGTTTCATGAACTCCTGAAGCCCGATGACCTCAGAGATGCTCACGGGCTTACCCTTACGGAGGCGCACGATGACAGAGACAAACTCTTGATATGTAATCACGGAGGCTTCAGTAGGAAACAAGACCTCGGTCAACATCAAGAGCCCGTCGACGTCGGTCCCACAATCTCGAAGAGATTCTAGCACGTCGGCGTTCTGCATGATCAGCTGGAACGTAGCACCATTAATATGCCAGTCACCGTTGTCATCCATGTAACACTTGACGACCCCCTCAAGATGGCGCTCGAGGTAAGCAATCTCCTCTATGTCCTTATCGTGCTTCGCTGTTTCAATGGCGACGCTACAAAAAAACACCAACAAGCATGTTCAACAGCCCGAAATAGGTCAGAAACACGAACGTGGCAAACACCGACGCTTCGAAGATCGCGTGATGAGCACGCAAGTCGTTGAAGAATTCACTAAGACCGTCCATGGCAACGCCGTGGGAAAGCAGCGACAAGATCGTGTGACCCACAGACCCGAAGTACCGCTCCCTCAGATGCTCGCTGCGATGGCTGGCAGCGGTGAGCAGCACGCCACAGGTGTACAGGAGGACGGCGATAAGGATCCAGATGTCAGCCGCCGAGCGCATGCCACTGGCCATCTCGTTCAGAATAGTCCCCACGGCCCGCCTTGCGCGCGTCAACTTGAGCAGCCACGCCAGCCTCGTCAGTCGCAGCACCTGGTAGGCGAGCAGGGAACCTGCGGCGGCTGGCACGTGGGGGGCCACGAGAACCTCCAGCACGATTGCAACAGTGCACGCTGCGTCAAGGCGGAACCAGGGACTGAAAAAGCACTTTGACCTGTGCTTCATGCTCATGACTTGGAGCACGATCTCGACAATGCTGTAAAGCGTGAAGATATGCTCGATTATAATGGACTCTGTGCCCCGATTCCACAAACTCTGGTTGAACTCGCCAAGCTCCGTGCTGATGCCGATCCATAGCAGGTTCAGCAACGTGAATAGCACCGAGACCACGAAAAAGACGGAGCTCCCAGTCATCCTAGTGCAGATGTTGTCGGCTTTTTCAGAATAAACAAATTGACTGGAAAATGTGTCGACTGGCCCGAGGTGACTGAAAGATAGGTTACCCTCCTCTTCTCCTTCAGATATTCCGAGCAAACCGTGCTGGCGCTTCTTGTACTTCTCGTAGGACTCCCAGCGTGACCCGCCATGGAAAATCAACCTCGCCATGGCGTGGGCATGTTACGTGAAAAGGGGTCCAACTGGACCATATCGACGAAACAAATCTCCATCACCGTCTTACCATCCTGCCCGCTCTTGATGCGCACCTTGGACTGGCCGCGCTGGTAGGCCTTCTCGATCTGGTCATTATGATCCGCAGTGTAGTTACGAAAGCCACCCTTGGTGCGCTGCCACTGCCACACGTACTGGCCGCGGCCGAGCTGACCCACAGCCTCGTCCTCACAATCATCCTGGCCTGCCGCATCCGCCGAACATGCGTCGGTCTCGCCATCTTTGTCCTCCTCGACACTCTCTGACCCGTCGCTGCTGACGGAGACTTTGGGGGACATATTGTGGGACAGCTGGCTGTCCAGCACCGCAACGTTGCCTGTGGGCGTGCGGTGCTGCTGGGCGTCGTGCACGCGCGGGGATCGGCTGTCGTGCGCTGCTGATGGAGACTCGCTGATGCCACTGACCTGGCTGGATTGCTCATCACGGGGCGTCCTTATGGTGCCCCATGAGAACTCCGAAGCGCGCCTATAGGGCTTACCCTCCAACCAATTTCGTACCGATTCATCGTTCTGCTGGTTCGACAGCCTCGAGATTTCTTCCTCGAGGTAGCTCACCTCGAGGTTGTGGGCCGCGAGCAACTTCATGAAGAGTGTGCGGAACTCGTGAGGTGAGGGGCGACGAGAACGACGGGCCTGTCCCAGCTGTACCATCGGCGTGTCGGCTAGGTTTTCAACGTCCGCGCAGCCCAACCATGAGTTATGCATTGAGGCAATGCTGTTCTGACCGCGCCCGCGACCAGCGAGATATCCGACTGGGCACACCCAGCGCTGGCGTTGGGCCGGGGGCTTCAGCCAACATGACTTGAGCCAAAATGGCCACGGACCGTTTTCGGGCCCTCTTGAGCCGTCTTGGAATCCGTTTGGGAGCCTTGTGGGCCGTCTTGGACTGGTACCAAAACGACGTCGACAACATCTCTCTCACGTTTGTGTATCCTCGATGAGCCCAAAATCGCGGTGCGATGGCTGCAAAAGAGGGGCAAGCAATGCCGGAGATATGTTTTTTCACGGGTGGCCAATCTGGGGGGCCTGGCGTAGGGCACCTGCCTCTCCCAGGAAGTTGATGCCCCAGGGTGG